TGCTTAGCTATTTGTCAAACATAAAGCGGATCACCGAAAGTCATCCAATATACTGATTTTATGTTTTATTTTTATTGATTTTACTGTCAATGGCGCAGATTGATCAAAATCTTAAGTTCATACTAAATTTACTTCATTCCTGTTTTTAAGAAAATATTTTCGTAATAGCAGATAAGTAAAGTAAAGTAAAAGTAAAATTCTGTAATTGTTAAATTGTCGATATCATAAAAAATAAACACTTCTGAGTGCATGTTATCAACCGATGCATACATACAGTAGAATGTAAAAGTATTTTATATATATGCATGTGGCTATCGAACTAACTTTATTAAAATTATCTGTGGGCAATTCTCGATGTTTCAATTACACAATTTAAATTTTATGTCTAAAAGTCGGTTACAAATTAGGCATATGTAAGCCTCTCTAAATGAAGAGAATTTCCCACAGTTTTGATTTTATGTTTTACTAGTTGTCCCGGCGAACTTCGTACCGCCTAACAGTCTCTATATATATAAAACAAAGTAGAGTTTGTTACAAAACTTATAATTCGAGATCTGCTGCACCAATTTTCATGGTTTTTGATTTGTTGGATTTGTCTCTGCCCCGAACTGGAAACAGGCATTGTATTTTTGAGTGCTCGCTAGAAAAGTAGGGAACGCAATGGCTCTGGTGGCGGGACCACTAATGGCAATGTCACTTTACCACTAAGGCAGCACAAACCGGGCGTTTCACCAGCAAACTTCAATGCGCCACAATGCTGGCAAACAACGTCCATTGGACCAATGCAAACTAAACGATTCAAGCTATAGTCAATGGTGCAATCATATCGAAACGCTTCTCGATTCAAATCAATCCTTGAACCATTTCTTATTGCCATTTCACGGGCTGCCTCTCTTTGAGAAGCACGAATTAAGGCCCTTCTTTGCTGGGTACTAACGCGGAGCCTTTCTCGGGCGATTTCTCGCTCTTCGTCAGATAATTGACTCGCGATATCCATTTTTATTAATAGTAATACTGCCCTCGCACAAAACCATATAAAACAATCGAGAAATATAAATATAAATAATTTACACAAATTTATGTTTGAGACAAACAAATACCTGAACATTCGAGATATTTAGCTTTTGTACGCACGCGCACAATTATTATTTATAAAGTTTAAAAGTCCAAAAATATAAAAAGCCAAAACTACACTTTTTAATAACTAACTTTTTTTTTTTTTTTTTGAATTTCGAATTTTGAATTTTTTATTTATTTTTGATTAGTCAGGTTTTAATCTTTTGATTTTTTTGAATTTTTGCAGATTTTTGATTTGAAATATTTTTCTTTTTGATTTGGAAAAAAAATTTTTTTTTTTGAATATATATATATATATATATATATATATATATATATATATATATATATATATTTTTTTTTTTTTTTTTTTTGTTGAATAGTCTTTTTTTTTTTTTTTTTTGAATAGTCAGGTCTGCTCGAGGCTGTGCCGTAGACTGACTGACTACATTTGTTTATTTACTTCTATACAGGACCGAAACTGTCACTGTTGTCAAGGCTACTGAGTATAAATGTAAATTTGAATCTTTAGGGAAAAAAAACCGCGTTTTTCAAGTATTCGTCAAATTTTTCAGTATTTTAAAGATCTACTGACCTACTCGTGGCGGAGACAAATCCAACAAATCAAAAACCATGAAAATTGGTCCAGCAGATCTCGAGTTATAAGTTCTAAGACACTTTTACACAACTCTCTTTTATATATATAGAAGATTAAAAATAACAAGTAAGAAGGCTCCAGTCGAGACTGCTCGACTAGGAGATACCCTGAACCCTCCAAGCTCCAATCATTCCGCACTTCTTCTATGTACACATACATACACATGCACTTATAAGCACGCGCTCTGCTAACTGCGCAGTAATCAGCGGCTGCGCTTGGGCTGCGCTGCAATGTGGGCAATATTATGACAATTTATTTGTTGAATAATTTCTTTTGTAGACATACAATCTTAATGAAACTTTTAGAGCGTAATCATATGGTTAAAATGTGTGTACATTCCAAAGCACAAGTCTCTAGTACTTGAAATGCGTTTTTTACAAATTGGGGGCGAAGGGGGCGTGGTATCCAAAATCTGTAAATTACAAAATGTTTGTGTCCATTAATTCTATATACAACGCAAATTTGAAGTCTCCAGGTTTAAAAGTGTTCAAACTAGGCTGAAACAACCAAGTCGATTTTTCGATTATTCTCGATAAAAAAGTTATCGGGTGAGTTATCGAAAAAATAAAGCAAACTCGTACTGCCTATGGTATACACGAGTATGCATGCCAAATTTCAGCTCTCTAGCCCTTATATCTTCTGAGATCCTTTTGCTCATACGGACGGACGGACGGACGGACGGACGGACGGACGGACGGACAGACGGACAGACGGACAGGGCTATATCTATTCAGCTCGTCGTGCTGATCAAGAATATATATACTTTATGGGGTCTGCGATGATTCCTTCTGCCTGTTACATACTTTTCACAAAACCATTATACCCTGATTTCCCATTTTCAATGGGTTCAGGGTATAAAAATAAGGGTTCAGATCTTCATATTGTACATTAAATTTGTTCCATAAATCTCTTTATACATTTTTTTAAATCTATAAATTCATAGCCTCATTTCATATCCATTCATTCATGAGGCTCACTAACATCTTTTACAATCCAATTAAACTCAAAAAAAAAAAAAAAAAAAAAAATACAAAAAAAAAGTACTACCAAAAAAATAAAAATACAAAATATTTATATTTTATTAAAGGAAAAGAAACACAGTATGAGTTGCATAAATGTTTTTTAATTTAGGAAACAACTCTTGGGCATTTTTGTGAATTTAAATATTTACAGTATAAAGTTAAATGTACTTCGATCATAACTATTTTTTATTTTTTTTTTTTTTTTGCACTATGGGTGTTTACTGTTTATAAATAAATAAATAATATAAATTTTAAAAAACATAAGCAGCTCTTATCGGATATGTGAGGAGTTTATTGAACTTTAAATTGCACAATTGTATTTGATAAGTTTGATTAGCGAATGTAAAAGGAAATTTTAATTGATATAATTAAAGGGATTCCATCTAAGCCTCCAATTGCAAAAATTTGTTTGTAATTCTCGAATTGGATATGTTGGATTATATTTAAAAAAAAAAAAAAAAAAAAATAAAACAAACCATATATAAATATAAAACTAAATGCTGTTCTCAAATTAAAATATCAACTTACGAGCAGTCAGTATGCTTTATAAATCTATTATACCACTGCATATACCCTACACAAATAAAGATACAGAACTACAGAATATTAGGTAATCTTTTTGAGGAACTTCAGGTTTCTTTATATTTGAACCGTCTTTATTGCAGATGTCAAATATTTTTTTTCCTTATACAATACTGCTTTAGAAATGAGCTTACCCTTTGGGAAATTTCATTGGTTGCAGGGTATTAAAACAAAGTATCCCTTCAGTGGCACAAAATGTCTATACGAATGGTAATTGTTGGGCCTCTGCTGGCGTTATTTATTTGCGAGGCTGCCTATGGCAATGTTGCGACAATTCGAAAACGAAAAAAACAAATTCATTTTCGTTGCAATTTTCGTCGTTTTGTTGTATTTTTTGAAATGTTTTTCAAATCAAATATCGACAACTGCGGCCAGACTGAGGAGCGAAGCGACATGGCTTGATTGCCTTTGACTGCATATTTATTTGTATGGGCAAGCGGGAATCTTTTTTCAATCATTTTGTTGTAGTTGATGTTGTTTTTGTTGTTGTTGTTGTGTTTGTTGTGTTGGGCTGTGGGATTTTTCATTTTCTACAGTATTGAGCTGTTCGTATTTTTACGCTTTTTGTCAACATTCTGTTGTGTCGGACTTGTTTGCTTTATCAACTGGACTCTCTCTCGTCTCTCTGCGAGCCGTTGGTTTTTAATGCAATGTTTTGATTATGTACTCAGGCAGTGCTGCCTCTGCTGCTTCTTTGTTGCATTCAGCCATGGGGCATTGTCTTTGCGGGCTCGCTTAATGAAAGCATATCGAGTGCAACTGCACCTCAAATTGCCTGCATTGGCTAAGATATTCTAGAGATGAGCTTTAATCAACGACTGCAGGCCCATCAATTGACTCAATGACTCAGCAGTTTGCGGCAATCGAAAATGCATGTCATTTAGTGCGAATCCAACTTGAGCACACTTGAGCCCTTTGCCCATTCATGCAAATCCCCTCATGCGAGCGATTTGGGCGCCAGTGCAAAAATCTCTAACTGCAGTCAGCTCCAGAATTGCTGATGCTGACATTTTGCTTGGCAGATGGTTCATCTGCTGACAGACATTTCAGTTGTAGGCCAAAGGCAATTCTGTCAAATTTTAATTGAAACTGAAGTGTCAAGAGACGAACAGCAAATCAATAGTAGCAATAGCACATCAAATCTACGAGAGTCGCGTCTTGGTTTCTATTTAAAGTGTTGAAGTTCATTTGAATATGATCTAAGAGTGAAACCTTGGGAGTATTTTTAAAGTTTTTTATTATGATGTGGAGAATCAGAACATCAATTTAGTACTACATAACTGATCCAATAATAAAACCAAGCACATATGTATATTATGTATTATAAACTGTTTAATCGTACATATACTTTTCATTACAACTTTTATTTTGTTTTCAATTTTCTCAGAGACTAAACATAATATACAAAACTGATAGAAGAAGATATATAACCAATCTATCTGATAAGCACCTTGGTTGTTTCTATTATATTTAATTTACTAATATTGTTCACAAAACCTGTTCCAACTAAAGTCAAATCCTAAAAAAGATTTTATATATCCCAAATCGATGCGAACAAAATTGATCAGAATATCATAAAAAATATGTTAGACCTGGCTGCATTTAACTTCAGTCTGAGATCTTTTTTGAACTATGATCAAATAACATTAATATAATACATATTAAAGCTTTGTAGTGCTTACCTTTAGCGCAATCTTTATGCAGTATCTGATGCGGTTTTGAAATTAAATGCAAAATAACATATTTTCACTTCTTTAAACACTTTCCGACTGAGGAAGCTTCCGCGATATTGAATAGACTCGTCATTTACACTTTCGCTTAGATAATACACTTCTTAATTCAAACACTATGAACCTTATTCGAAATTCCGTTAGTTTATAGCATTGAGTATTGATATGAGAATGTTTTCTTATGCTCGAAAGACAATTGAACGTATTAACATTCACTGATTTGAAAGCTAATGCGACTCTACAGAATTTACAGAGAAATATAGCTTAGACTATTTGCCAAGATGTAAAGTTCAAATATCATTCAATTTTTTCGCACTGCTGCTTCTCTTATATATTTCACAACCATAGTTAGTTAAGCGAGCGATTAAAAAATTTCGACTTTATTGGAGGAAATAATTCACAATGCAGAATGGGTTAGGTTCTTCCTAAAACAAATTTAATTGCGACTCAAATGATAGTATATCTTATAGGAATAGTTATATACATGTCTATTGAAATACCTATATATGTATGTGATGTATGTATGTAGCTATTTCTTATATGAGTATGCACTAGCTTATCTAATTTATGTAGTATTATCTTATTCAAATTTAGTATTTTTCAGATGCTGCAAAGACTCTAATGGAATCTCATAAAAATTACAGTATTCTGAAAAACCTTTCGTACCAAAGATATGCAATAGTTAATTCTATAGGTTAGTTCTACATGAGCTTCAGGCTCTGGCATAGAAATGTTCGGTTTGTCCTAGGTCAGTTACAGTAGGAAGAGCCTTGGCTTAGGTCAGTTCTCAGTTTACTCGGAGGCGTTAATTTACATTTCGATGAGGTCGCCAGACCTTTGCACAATCTCGCGTTAAAGTTCTCCACTGCACGGACACACACTCACTCACACATAAAGGGCAGGAGCACAAAGAAAGACAGAGGAATGTTTGCTCAGACGCCGGTTCTTTGTCGTCAGCAACCTTTCGTAACCGTATTTCGCGCAAAACTGATCCTTAACGCATTCCGAAAAAATCTGCTGCTTTGGCATCGAGTGTGGCGAATGTGCAACGAGCACGAGACCCAGCAAATGCACGAGGACACGAGGCGACACGGCCGACAGGACGACGAAAAGGAAATGTCGGCACACGACGCGCCTCAACGAACCGGCAAATGGACGACGGCGAAGTCGTAGGGGTCGCCAGATAACGGCTTTTGTTGCCAACAACTGCACGCTTGTTCTTGCTGCTTTTGGCCAAGTGCAAATCTCGGCAAATAACGACGAGCTAACGACGATTGCAGCCAGCCGACGTGGCCTGGACCAATAATGAAGATGTGTTGCATCCACACAGCGTGCAACATGTACCGACTGAGAGGAACAGCTTCCCAGCTTCTCAATTCGCCGTGATTCAAAACTCAATTACAATAATCACTCAGCTTGAATTGAAAATTGGGATTATGAAAGTTTATTTGAATTCAGTTTTCATAATATTCGTTATCGGCTTTAAAGACTTTTTGACGTGCTTTGCCTCAGCGGTTGACAAGCTCATTGAGGAGCCGAGCTCGAACATGTTGCCAGGCCGAATTCGCCGCAACTTAAGCTCTCCTCTGCAATACAAGTAACGGCAACAAGTGCAAACATCCCCAAAGCAATTCTACACGCTCACAGTAACCTATCAGCATTTCGCTTAAAAGCTCTGATTTTGCCGCACAGAGTGCACTGAAAAATATTTCTATCGAATGGAAAACACAAATACATATTTATTCAATATACTTTACTAAGTTTTTAAATTAAATGTAAGTACACTTAACGCATTGGATAGATTACTAGGTATAAGAGCTTTTGCTTCCCCAATATAGATGTATTTTGGTCAAGTTACAGTTGTTTCTCGCTGTGTATAAAAGCTGTTGAGCTAATGTGCGATGCGCCGAATTGAAATTCGGTTTGTGTAGACTTTTGCGTAGTATCTCTTAAAAAGTAAATATTTAGAGAGAGCGAGACGGCAAAAGCTAAGAGAACTTTTGGGGGTTGAAGCATGTCTATGGGAATAAAGGCTTAGGTAAATCGAATTACAAATAAAAATAAAAAATAATAATGAAGAAAAATACAATCACAAATAATTGTAGCTCGAGGTCCCATTTCAGATCTGTAAAAATTAATTTACTGTACCAGCATTTTATTGAATTGGTAGTGTAGATTATCCTTAAATCAGACCCAGGCAAACAATAGTCCAATTGCTTTCCAATGCAATTAGTATCGAAATACATACGATTGTGAAAATATAAACAAAACCACCACCACTTAAGCTGAGCAGGATTCCCCAACAGTTTTTCACCACGCGCTTAACTTTAATCGCTCACAGAAACATATGCACACATACACAAATATCTATATATATGTATATAGGGACAGAGACAAGCAGCCAGCCAGACGGCGTAAAAAGGGATAAATAAACTCTAGTGTAGCGCAGAGCAGCTCTTACTATTTGCTGAGCAAGTCCCTAAGGCTCTCTCGCTCTCGCTCTCTCTCTCCCGCCGCATGCGCACTGGAAGTTGCCCTTAAGCCGAGCTCGGCCAATCAGCTGCCTTGCTGCAAGCTTTATGAGCACGACTCGAGCTGGCCAATCAGAGGCTTGCATATTTCCAGGCAGCCGAGAACCAGGCTGCACTGTTGCCCCTACAAATGCACTGGAGCCCTGCTGGAGGGAATCAGCCACCCCGAAGAGCGCGCAGTCGCAGCGTTGAGCTGCGGCAACTGTTTGCCTCGATGGGCGCCGCCCAAGTGTCGATTACAATAGCAACAACCTGCACTCGTTGCATATCTGTAGGCTCAATTTCACACACACACATACACACATGTTTGCTCAGTGGCATTCATTCCGACTCTGACTCTGACTCCGACTCCGACTCTGGCTCTGGCTCTGGCTCTGGCTAGGTGACAAATTTTCATGCCAACGCCTGTAAATATGTACTAATTTTTAGCTACAAGCCCTTTTCGCATTGCAAAACGGGGGTAATTGAGGTCGACTCGCCATTGTCGTCCTTTTGCCGTCTCCTTTTGCTGTGTTGATTTTTCGCATTGCATATTTCTAGGCTCTGATTACGAGCCTCCTGCAGCTCGGCCATTATTATGACGTCTTCTTTGGCGCGCACGAGTGCCTTTCTTCCCCTGTTCGCATTCTCTTCTCCTTCATCATCACCATCATCATCTGCTCTTTCTTCTTCTTGTTTGTTTTGGGGTCATCATGTTTACCAGCAAAATATTTTCTCCAGTGCCACATAGCCGAGTGTGAAAACATTTTCCATGGTTGCACTTCTGATTGCAGTTTGAAATTGGAGTGCCGAAAAAAAGTGATAAAGCAAAGAGCAGAGAACTTTGCAATCTTTAGAATAGTGTTCCATCTCCCTGTCGGTCTGCCAGACAAAAATGTGGTCAGAATTGTTGACAAGGCTTTTTATATTCCTTGAATCATGGGGGCAATCAGTGAATGTCAAGCGTCCAAGAATTCCATTGATGCTCAACACTAATTCCTGAAATCTATATTCCACTAGACGAGGTATTCAATTGATTTAAACGGGCAGTAACAATACTTATTGGCCGCACGGTGCTCGGTGCAATAGAAGTTTATTATATAATATATATCGTAAGAATACATTTTTCAGGAACTGGAACAGGAACTAGAGTAAAATTCTTCATATTTTTAGGAACTTGAATATTCAGAGAATCTTTCTATAAAATCTTCAATCTTTTGTTGAACTTTAGATCTCAGAGATTTTTGGTTTGACATGGTTTATTAAAATATTATTTGTATTTTTATACCCTGAACCCATTGAAAATGGAAAATCAGGTTATAATGATTTGGTGAAAAAGTATGTAGCGTGCAGAAGGAGGTGGGGCAGACTCCATAAAGTATATATATTCTTGATCAGCCCGACGAGCTGAGTCAATATAGCCCAGTCCGTCTGTCCGTCCGTCCGTATGAGTGCGTCGATCTCAGAGGTTATAAGAGCTAGAGAGCTGAAATTTGGCATGCATACTCGTGTGTACCATACGCAGCACACGTCAATTGTTTTTTCGATAGCTCATCCGATAACTGTTTTATCGAGAATAATCGAAAAATTGATTTTGTTTTTCAAGCCTACCTGCCACACCCCCTTTGCCCTAATTTGTAAAAAACGTATTTCAAGTACTAGAGACTTGTGCTTTGGAGTGTACACATTTTAACCATATGATTACACTCTGAAAGTTTCATTATGATTGTACGTCTAGAAATTAAATTATTCAACAAATTAATTCCTATAATGTTGCCCACACTGCAGCGCAGCCCAAGCACAGTCTCTGCTTACTGCGCAGTTAGCAGAGCGCGTTCTTATACGTGCGTGTGTATGTATGTGTGCATAAAAGAAGTGCAGAAAGATTAGAATATCAGCTTAGAGGGTTTAGGGTATCTCCTAGTCGAGCAGTCTCGACTAGAGCCTTCTTACTTGTTCAAATTTATATTAAGTCTGATATTGTAGGAATAGAATAAATTGTTACAGGATTAAGCATTCATACACTTTATAAGGGTATATTGTTTTTTGTGATTACAAAGTATTACAGAAGGAATCTAGTTGGAAGATTCAATAGAAGACGCCTTTTGAGTATTCTCTTTCTGTAAATCTTCTTGCGTAATATCCTCCTTAGAAGCATTATCATATGTAAAACAGCTTCCAGCTTTAAGGTTTAAGGCTGTATCGTATATTTTAATCCCCTCTGCCATTTTCCCGCAACCCACATAGCTTTAACTAGAACTAAGGTCACATAAAGCTGGAGATGGTGGTCACGGATTATGTTGGAGTCTGACAGCTGCAAGCGCAGTGCCTATTTGCTCAGCACAAAGGGGGCAGAGCACGTAAATGCATGTGCAAATAGATATAAAGGAGCAATGCACGCCTTTGCACTGCCACACACACACACACACACACACACACACACAATCATACACGTTGCCACACCTGGTGGAATGAGAGCTACATAGTCGAAAGGGAATTGAGTTAGGGCCTAAGAGCTTTAAATCAAAAGTCAGCCAGGCAGTCAGCTAGCCAACCAGCCAACCAGCCAACCAGGCAGGCAGTCAGTCCGGCCTATGTAAATAAATGCAATATGCAGGCGCAGAGTGAAAGCAAAGCAAAGCCAAAGCAAAAATACCAAGCAGGACACTTTTTTGGTCACTAGGAGACAACGAACGTCCTGGCGACTACAATTGAAAATGGCGCCTTAGTTTTGCTCTGCCGATTCTGATTAAGGCCAGAGGTCGTCATGTCTGTCTGTCTGACCATCAGACAACCGCAACCACAGATGGAAAAAAAGAAATCCTAAAAAATCCGTCGGTGGGCACCGTGCCCCGTTGCAATGTTACGAAGTAAGCAGAATTACGTGCATTTGTTCTCTGCAGTGCGGTTCGTGCACATAAATACGAGATGCGGCTTCGACGTACTACGCAAGTAAACAAAGTCACGTTGACTGCATTTCGGATGAGCCTCTCCTCCCATTCACTGGCTGACTGACTGACTGACTGCCTGACTGACTGACTGAATGACTGTCTGTCTGCTTTCTGTTCACTGGCCTGACTGCGCCCCCTTGAGCAAATAACGGCTGCATACTTGCAGACGCGTTTGCCGTGCAGCCAGCGACTAGGCTTTAATGCCTACAGCGATTGCATTGCTGTGCGCATTTAGAAGAGCTAATAAAAATAACGCACTTTAATTGCAAAAAGATGTCCAAGTAATTGACGAAAATATCCACATCAATTAGTTTGCTGTTAAATTCAGCATTTCATTTAGCTAGAACCCCTTTCTACATTTTAAAAGTTTATTGATACAATAATGATTAATACAATTCATGAACTATGCTGACACTTAAACTTAACAAGAAAATAAAATAAATATAAATTAATTTTCCCTTGAAATTTGAACTCGCATATAATAAGCAAAGGCCATGAAAATTACAGTTTTTATAGAAAAGTATTATTTCTTAAAAATGTATTTTTGAGTTCTTTAAAAAACAACTTATGTCTATACATTTTATTAGAAAATTATTGTTTAAAAAAATTTACTATTTTAAGTTTGAATTAATTTCACAGATAATTTGAATTAATTTACGAATTTAAAAAAACCTTATTAATTCTCTTAAAATTTTTTCAAAAAATAAAAAGTTTGAGCGTTGCTGTCCGCCATTACCGACTGCAGAATAATCATTCCCATCCCGTTTTTGGGAAAATTTAAACACTTTCTACATTGAGGACACTTTTTAAATTTTTCCAAATATCAAGTCTCTAGCTTCAAAAGCAAAAAAATTGCGTTAATACAGATAGATGGGCGGACGAACGCACGGACAGCAAGACTGACTTACCAATATACCCATTTCACTTTCGTGAATAAGTATAAATAGTAAAAAAAAAAAAAAAAAAAATCAAATAAATAAAAAACAAAAGAAAATACATTATAATTTAAATTCACAAAAGTTATCGATAATTTAAAACAAACTAATCTGCGCTCACATTTAACAAACCAATGTGAAAAGGAGTAAGCTTTTTTCTCACCTAACCTTCGCATAGCATTTATAAGTAGTACGTAAGAAAGTCAAAGTTCGTCTACACATATACTTAATGAGTATTAATAATCATAAGTATTACTTATATACCTTTATCTCATATGAAATTTGAGTTTGTGTTAAGATACATTAATTGAACGTGTTCTTCCACGAAAATAATTTGCTGTATTCGAAATCTATAGATATGTATATACTATTGCAAATTTATATAAATTAATCTAATTGAATCGAATTAATTATTATAAAAACTATCATTTGTTTTCATGCACTATTACTATTATTGAGATATTCGGAAAAGAATAATAAAGACAAAAGTCGAATGAAGTCATAAATTATTCGTGTTTTTATCTAAATCTCTTAAGTAACTCAGCTGATAAATAATATTTTATACTGCTTTTCATGCTCAATGACCAACAAAATTTTAATTGCACTGTATAGTATATAAATTTAGTGTAAAATTGATTTATCAACGACTAAATCGTTAAAAATAATAATACACAATCATTAAAACTTTACAGCTTTAAAACTTGAAGTAATTTACTGCTTATGCATATTTAAGATACCCTTCTTTTTGTTAATGCTCCACTCCGAGCAAATTAATTCAAGAAGCAATTCATGTCTGAACGCATCTAACTTTCTATAAAATTTCAGATTCATAGCCAGTTAAAGTCAGTTAAGTACTTATCATGGTAAAATTATTAAATGCATCAGTTGGTCCAAGCGACCCTGGCGAGACTCAGCCTCAACTCCTGACAGAATTACGTTTTGTTCATGTGTAATTGTGCTCAGAGTATATGCGCGTTAGGCGTTCCACATAATGCTGTCTTGCTTGATTTCGCAGACGGGGCTATTATTTTAACTACACGCAATTATCCCACAGACTGGGCGACTAAATTGCTCCACACACAGTTTAGAGCTAGCCCATTTGATTGTATTAAAAGTATTTGGATGCAGAGAGGAAGCATAAAATATGAATTTTTTGACTGTGCTTATAATTATTTTAAGTCTCTTTCCGTACGCAAACCTGGTAAGCAACATGAGAAAAATTACATTATTTTCAAAATGTCAGTGTATTTTATTTTCAGAAGTTGAGACTTATAGTTGTAAAATCTCCCGTATGTGACAAATATAATCGAAACTACCTACGAAACATTTCTATGGATTATCACGACACTAAATTGAACGCTGATATAGACTTGATCAAACAACTTCAATCAGGATTACGCTTAAGCATGGACTTTTCCACACGCAGGATACGGTCATCATCCTTCACACATTTTTATGAATACTCCCTGGATTTATGTAATATGTTGTCCACGCAGAAAAACAATATCTTCAAGAGGTGGTTCTCCACCTTTTACAATTATGGAAACTTTAAAAGAGCGTGTCCAGTTCCACCAAATTACTACTATTTGAAAAACTATAGGATCAGTGAGCTCGAAGTTCCTCCATTCCTTTTCGCTGGTCTTTTCCGCTTGGAATTTCAGATGATTCAAAGCACTGCTCAAAGTAAGAAAAAGGATCACATTTTTAGCTGCGAAGTAGAGATCGAAATCAAATAAAACAAGTAAGAAAGCTCTAGTTGAGACTGCTCGACTACGAGATCCCCTGAACCCTTCGAGCAATAGCTACTTCAATAATTTTTCGCGTCTTTCCACTTACACAAGGCACACACGCACACATACACACACACGCATATACACACACGCATACACACACACCTACACACGCCTAAACACGCATGGGCTGCAATGTGCGCTTACTATGAGAACTTAATTGTTTAATATCTTTTTTGTGGACATACGATCTTCATGAAACTTTCAGATTATGATATACATGTATTTGCCAAAGCACAAGTCTCTCCTATTTGAAATACGCCTTTTACAAATATGTGGGTGAGGGGGGGGGAGTAAATTTTAACAAAAACCGAATTTGTATAAATTGCAATAAATCTACGTAAAAAATTTTGAGTCTTTAGCTTTAAAGTTGTAGGAGATATAATTTTATAACTGATTTTCGATAAGGCTTTCTATCGATAAAAAATATCGGGAGGATTTATCGTGGTGTACACGGACATTTTACAAAAACAATTTAGGTCTCTAGCTCTTGTATCTTCTGAGCTTGAAGACGGACAGGGCTAAATCAACTCAGATCGTCGCCCTGATCAAGAATATATATACTTTGTGGGGTCAGCCACGCCTCTTTCTGCCTGTTACATACATTTCAACAAAACCATTATACCCTGATTTCCCATTGGAAATGGGTTCAGGGTATAAAAAATACTACAAAAAATTCCGAATACTTGAAAAACGCGTTATTTTCCCTATTGCTATTAAGGATCTTTGCATTGTTATTGAGACTCAGTAGGCTAGATAACAGTGTAAGTTTTCGGTCATGTTCTCATGTAACAAAAATTTATTCTGTGTAAATGTCTTTTCATAGGTTGTCCTTGTCATTTTGATAAGCTATTATAGATAATAATAGACATAGATGTCTCGATTGTTTTATGTAGTTTTGTGCGAGTGCATAATCAGTATTACTATTAATAAAATGCCGCGTCCTAGAAGATCTAATATTTCCAAGCGGACCCGTTATGCAATTAGGCAACGGAATATCGTGAGTCAATTATCTGACGAAGAACGAGAAATCGTCCGAGAAGAGCGCGCGTTAGTATGGAGCAAAAAAGGGCCTTAATTCGTGCTTCTCAAACACAAGAGCAAAGAGAGGCAGCCCGGGAAACGGCTGGATTAGAAACGAGAAATCGTCGAGCTTATCGTACAGATAAACAGAGGAATAATCTTCGAAGTGCTAGAAAAAATGGTTCAAGTATTGATTTGAATCGAGCAGCGTTTCGATATGATTGCACCATCGACTACACCCTGCATCGTTTAGTTTGCATTGCCCCAATGGACGTTGCTTGCCAGCATTGTGGCGCATTGAAGTTTCCTGGTAAAACGCCCGGTTTGTGCTGCCTTAGTGGTAGAGTGACATTGCCACTATATTTCTATCTATATTAATATTGTTTTGTATTATTGCATTACGTTCATCAAAACCTTAATTAGTTCAGCTAAGAGGTAACACGATTCTTTGACTATTAGGAGGTACGAAGTTCGGCGGGTCAACTAGTATTATTATAAAAATCTTTTTATTTTATGGAAATTTCCACATTATTTTTCGAAATCAACATTTTTGGCATGAAAGCCCCCAAGTGCGACAAATACAATCGGAGCTACTTTGCAAACGTATCTGTGGTGTATCAAAGTGACTTAGACTAAATTAAAGCCTTGCTCCCAGGATTGAGCGTGAATCTGGATTTCTTCTCACGCAACTCGCAAACAAAAAGTTTTTCGAACTTCTATCAGAACTCCTTGGACGTGTGCCGTATGCTGGCAATGCGGAAGAGCAATTTTTTCAAAAGTTTTCGAGTATCTTCCAACATGGAAACTTCCAGAAACATTGTCCAGTTCATCCAAATTATTACTATACGAATGACTTTAATATTATTGAACTCGACGTTCCGAGTTTCCTGTTCTCTGTTCTCGCCTAACATTGCATGCAGTTCAAATTTATAGTATAGATTTTGTAATTGACTGCGATATGGAAGTCCAGATCAAATAAAATCGAGACCAAATAAATTTATTGAGAACGTTCCACTCCTGTGCCTTCAATTAACATAATATCAGATTTTCGAATTTATCTCGTCCTCGCTTTATAAATTATACAATATTATTATATTGTATATACACCGATTCATATACATGTAGTCTGTTTTGGATGAATAACGAATACCAATTCTAATCATTAGTGGTTCATATAGCAAAGCCTTGTAAAAATCAATAAGCGCTCTTCATTTCTGGAATGAGTAGAAACATTTTGTCGTCAATTGTTAATGATCACCTGCCTATTAAATTTAGCTTAGTAAAACAGATAGCCGCCAGTTGAAGCGCAGCAGTTAAAAGTTATTATAATATTGGCGTCGTGATGAAAGTGTTGACGGAGTGTACTATAGGGATTATTTTATTGACCTGCGTCTGCAGAGTGCAGGTTAGCAAAGGCGTGAGTTCTGCTTAAAAGCTAAAGTCCTTCAGTTGCGTATATTCGTCCATTACAGTCCAGCGTGTTCTTCCAATCTGGGGAGTGCAAGTTCAATCCCAAGTTCTTCGATAACTTCACCATAAGCACCTTCAACAACACGGTCAATCTGGAAATGGTCACCAAGAGGAGCTTTGATCGCGGCTTCAATGTCCACGCCGACTTCTCCATTAAAATGGGAACAACGAATCGTTACCAACGCGTGTTCGCCCACACCATGGACGTGCAGTTACAATGGCCTTGAAGAAGAACATTTTTAAGGCCTGGTTCCAGAGCATGTTGGCTCACGGCAACTTCATATACCACTGCCCAGTGCCCCCCGATCATTATTATCTGCGCAATTGGAAGGTGGACCCCAAGCTGGTGCCCCAGTATTTGAGTGCCGGCAGCTATCGCGTCACCGGCCACTTTTTCTATGGCAAACTCAAGTCCAAGTTCGAGGAAACTGTCTTAGACATCATTGTATATGCATTATTAAAGGCCAAGTAGCTAAAAAAAAAAAAAAAAATAAGAGGCCTCTAGTTGAGGCTGGTCTGTTCCGAGACCCCCTAATATTTCAATAATTCTTCACCTTTTTTCTAATTACAAGAGAAAATAGCACAAGGAGTAGATCTAGCCTATTTTAAAGTAGTCTAGCTTATTGATAATACATCCTTTAAAAATGAGTATGGGATAGAAAAGCTTGAAATAAAGGCAGACTATGTAAAAATCCTAGGCCAGGACTAGTAGTCCTCAAGAGAACATTTGAACATAATTAAAACGAATAATGTACCAAAGATACTTAGCATATGAATATATAGCATATATAAAAAAAAAAAATAAATAAATAAATAAATATTCTTGAGCAGCGTAATGAGGTAAGCCGATTTAACTATATGTGTTTGTTTGTTCGCCTGTCTATATGTCTGCAGAAGAAACGCAAGGGACGATGAGCTACAGAAGATCAACTAATTCACATTGAGTACTTTCATTTAGCATTTATATTAAAGGAAAACGAAGCCAGAATGCATGCAGCAGAGAGTGTTCCCATGGGTCACTTAAGCTCAAATGCAACGACGCCTACCTGGGGCCGGGCTCAACATTTGAGCGCAACTTAGGGTCTGAGTGCAAGTCACCCCAAGTAACGCGCACCAGCATTCTTTCAGTCGTCCAATCCTGGTGGGGGTCAGACATGCAGTGCAGTAAAGTGAAGTGAAGTGAAGTGTGTGATCGTTCAGGTAAGCAGAAATACTTACAGGCAAAACTTAGGGGAAATACTTGGTGGTAGTACCTTGAAGAAATAGCTAGAAGATGTACTTATTAGAAGAGGAAATATTTACTTAGAGTAAATACTTAGGGGAAATATTTAGATAAAATACTTAGGAAAAATACTTTGTTCAAATACTTGAAGAAAATATAACAAAAAAATAGGTTCAGGGTATAATAATCGAAATTCTATAAAATACTCCCAAATCTATATTCTCTTTAATCTTGCTGCAATAATTTTTATTTCCTACTATATATTCGACTATGTATTCAACTACATGTCTACAATATTATTAGGAATATGTATGTAGAAATATTCTCAGCTTCGGTGCATTCATCCGTGATGGTAATGAAGCAAAGGTCGCGGATAAAAAGATATGAAATCGAATTTATAATTATTCCAACAATTAGGCCAGTGAGTCTAATTGATTTTTGGAATATTTAAGTCTATGAGCGAAAAACTAAATTATATCAGTGGAATTTAAAATTGTCGGAAATAGGTCGATTGGTACGTGTCGCAATGTTTTCGTGGCGCAATTATTGCTGCCCGACTATTTTGATAATTGGATTCACACTATGCGTGAATGTGCCTCCCAACCAAGCGGTGAGTCTGCTATACCCGGCTGTAGCGGCCTTTAACGTATCTGAACTTTGTGTTGCTCTGCAGGAGCGCCGCGTGGAGTTTGTGTCCAGCAACAGCACTTACAATCCGAAATATTTTAAGAGCTTCTCGATTTGTGTTTCGAATAGGACCCTGAACATGACAATGGAGCTTTTGCAGCCCATTCAGCGCGGCTTCAAGGCCCACATCGACTACCAGCTGCGCATGCCGAATGCCAGAATGTTCCAAACCATCTTCAGTCATCATGTCGACGTCTGTGCTACGGTGAATAGCGTCAAAGGTGGGATATTCAAGAGCTGGTTCAAGAGCATGACGGAGAAGAGCAACTTCATGCTCAACTGCCCGGTGCAGGTGGGCACCTACTACCTGCGTGACTGGGAGATGGGCTCCAGCCTGACGCACCAGTTTCTGCACCCCGGCGAGTACCGGGGCAAGGTCTACTTGTTCTACGGAAAGTACAAGACCAAAACCGAGAGCCGAGTGCTCGCCATTACCATAGATTCCGTTCTGTATAACTGAGCTAACATAGCTGACAATAAATCGGCGGACGTGCGACATCTACGGCGGGTCGTCCTCTCTTATTGCCAGCCAAGCTGCATGTGGATAATAATATCCTGTACACGGCTGCAGCATGTGGCACGCAGCGCCGTTGATTATCGACAGCACCAGCATCAGCACCAGCAGCAAAATGCGAACGAAAAGAAATCGAAAATAAAACATTCAATTTAGCTACAATGTCCTCGATGTCAGCAGCCTCGTGCTCCTCGTCTCCTTCGCTTGGCAACTGTCGCATGCAGCACAAGGAGCTGCTCCAGCTGCTGTGCTCCTGCCAACGGTTTCCTTTGCTGCATTTTCCTTCTTTTCTTGTCCTGGCTGCTTCCGCCCGTCCCGTCTCAATTGCGTGTGTACTTTTTACCTTATCGCTTCCTAATTGCCGCCCACCTGCATTTGTCACTGCCTCACACCAGGCGGTCCGCTTGGCCATAATTTTCACAGCGATTCGCTTTAGGCTCGGTGTGTGTGTGGGTGAGCGTGTGAATGATTCCCGCTGGAATAATTATAGCATGTGTAATGATGACTTCTCCTTGACAGTGCCCGCGGCCATCCCAGCTGCCCGCTCGACCAGTGCTAATGAGTGATTTAGGTGAGCTTTGTTCAATTAGTTCAATGCCTGCTGCGGCAAATAATTGGTCTACTACGGCTCGCAATATGCTTAATTTTCAATTTGCGCCGAGTCTTGAGAAGGAGATTGACAACGATGCAGATATATATCGTTCCTCACAATTAAATCTAGCCAAATCTTAGTCTACAGGCGACTATGGATTGTGGAGAGTGTATCTTTCCGAATATATATTGAGTTGCATGTAAATTTTGCTCTTTATATGTTACTAATACTTAAGCAATTTATTAATATAAACGTGTGATGCTTTCACAGCTCAAGTATGGGAGAAGAGCAGAGAGCGTTTCGCAGTGCAAATCAATTTCACGGCAAACAAACGCTAAACGTTATTTAGCACTGGCACAAAGCACGACAACAATAATGATGGCAATTTCCTTGAGTACCCGCTGCCACTGCCGACATTATTTGTCTCAAAGACGCTCGGATGAGAGCCCGGGCTCTGCACTCACTGCACTGCACTCGCTGAGGTCCTCGATGCTGCCAGCATTTGTCGATGGCGACAAATACAAGAAATGATGCTTTGATTCTGCCTTGATTTTGTGCGGAAGTGCAATGATAGTGCGAAACGAGCCAGCGGAGCCGGGGAAATGAGGGCGCGCCAAAGCAAAAGAAGCTACTAAAAACGCTTCGTACTTACCAGCGCGTGCGAACGTGTCGAGTGCAGGAGTCAGGGAGTCCTGCTGCCCGATGCAGGCTGCAGGCGGCTGACTGCAGAGTCGTGGGTGCGCGAGCCCGTGAATCGGGTATACTTGTCGAGTTGTTAAGGGAAATACTTTGGCCAACTGTTATTGTCAGTGTTTAAATTATTTTGCGCTTAGTTTGCCGTTCGCATAAATTGCAGGAGTGCCAACAGCTGCTGCGCTTGTCCGCCATTCGATTGCGTGTCCATGTCCTTCTACGTGTCCATGTCCGCGTCCGTCTCCCTGTCCCGGTCCGCGTCCATGTCCGCGACCGTGTCTGAGTCCGAGTCCATAGGAGCGCGAGCGTGTGTCGCGTGCGAACAAATCCAGCCAGAGCCAGCCAGGTTGAGGCTCATTAATTTATTTATGCGAAGTGCACGTGCTACGATTTGCTCAATCGGAAGTGAAAAATTGTGTTAGCGATCGCATAGAGGCGTCAAGTTTCGGGCTATAAAGGATTCATGAGACTCAACTACGGCCAATTAGGTGGACGACACGTCTGCGTGGCTTTTCATTTCATTTTAATATCGACAAACACTGTGGTGTTCGTTAGCATATCGTTGCTCCAGTCTCGCATATAGAACAGGACATCAATGCGAAAGTTTCCAGTCATCAGGAAGGCGGGTATGCTGTCCCTGTCGGGTCGCAGATTCCTCCAGTAATAGTGGCCCTGGAAGCACTCAATTGACTCGACTGACCAGTAGCCCTAAGGATCGACCACTCACCTCTGCAATGGGGCAGGCTCGCGGCATGTTCGAGTACTTCAAGATGTTCTGCACCCAAATCTGGAAGATACCCATGCCTTTGCCCTTCCCAATCAAGCTGCAGATGTTCACGTTGTACGAGAATATATTGCGGTAGCCGTTCTTGGCTTCTCTTTGCCCCACGCTGACCTTCGCCCAAACGTCCACCGTGATTGCCTGAATCAAGTCCAACGTAGTGTTCATTTTCAGCTGATCTTGACTAATGCGCGCTTCGTAACTTGAGACGTACTTGCACTCAAACGTGGTGAAGACCCTGCGAAAGTGCAACGAGTTGAAGGCCTTTGGCACACATTAATCAGATATAAATCGAAATCAAACTCGTTCGAGCTTACCCTACGGCCGACAGCAAGTTGGCCAAAAGCGACTACTATAACTGTAAGTATTACAGCTCTAGGTACTCGGACCATTTTCAGCTCTGTTGTACCAGAATAGTTACAACTCCTATATTTGATTGTGAGCTTGGCAATGATGCCACTCAAATCAGATCCGATCTATTTTCTATTTTTATTTGTAATTATGGCATTAATGACCAATGCCAATCCAAATGTGATGCCATAGATCATTAGCCAATCATGTAAACAAGTACTAATGAGAGAATTGTTAGTACTTAATTGGAGAATGCGATAGTTATAACAAGATTATAATAGTAACAGAAAACAGTCTCTTGATGTTAATAATCAAAAGCTAATACAATCAAATTGTCTATAATATATAGTCAATTTAGCCAAGCTTATCTATGACCTACAAGGTCAGATGTCCTAGCGCCTCATGACATCAGACTTGGTCAAAGACAGATTTTACAAAAGTTTGTGTTACGAATGATAGAGGCTTGGAATTTTAAATCTCCTTTAGTAGGTTTTCATTTTTTGTAAATAATTGATCGAATTTCGTTATAATCAAACAAATCGACAATTTGATTTAATATTTCAATATAATGATTATGAAAACATCAGGTTTACTATGGCGGCTCTCGAAATGAATTCTTATTTTTGTGACTTGCTTAAATCGCATATCAACCATTCTTTCTCATACTTTCAATAATTCGGATACTTATAAAAGGAAAGCAGAAGGATCTAAGCATCACCTGCTGGCGGAGTTCAGAGTATTGCCTTATTGGAAAGAGCTGGCTAGGTTACCCTAACTTTCATTCTCTTTCAAAATGATTTTAAATAAATAAATAAACTCAGCGTTTACTGACTTTCTGCTGTATTATGAGACGGTAATCCTTTATTTGTTTTCTGATTATTGAACTTTTAATATGCGATTTTAACTTTATTGGGCTGAAACTTAAACACAATACTTAAAATCCTGAACAATGCAACTATAATAATTCCTTTTTTTCATAGAGTATTGGCTTTATAACTTTTTAAGCGTGAAATGAAATTGAGCAAACAATTGCTCGCTTATGCGCCATGAAAATGGCGTGAACATTTTAATAGCCGGAAAATTGCAGCAACAATTTATGAGAGCATAATAAAATTGAAGGGGCTTTCAGGATGGAGTGCGAAACGAAAAATATCGTTATTAACGTACTGCAAGATAACTGAGCGAGTTAAGCACAAGTTTTTCGATAAATCTTTGGGTCGTCACGAATTCGTGTGATTTATTGGGCAAGTGCAAGTAAAATGTAGCATAGCTTGACACATTGCGATAAGGCGGACAGAGAGTCGGGCGTCTGCAGAAGTAGAAAATGAAACTGTCAATAGCAAAGCAAAATTCATTGACAGCTGCAATTTGAAAAAGTTTTCTCCTGAACAACGGGCCGAGGGGCACCATGACTGTATGCCTGTGCGGTGCCTTGATCGTATCGTGCGGCAATTAGCATTTTGTGGCAATGTTGCACAATAATTTAACGAGCCAGCCGGCCAGCCAGCCAGCCAGTGCCACACAGCGGGAGCCTTCAGAATGAAGCCACAAAAAAGATGCCTGCAATTGTGAGAGAGGCGGCAAGACGATGAGCAAAAATAAAAAAAATAGAAAAAAAATTATTTGATTATCCTGCGGCCATGCGCTGTCACAATTTCGCAGACTGCCCGCCGTGTCCGTGTCGGTGCCTGTGTCCCTGGCCGGGTGTCCTTCGCCCGTGTCCCGTACTGCCACTTCCCTCTTGCCCCTTGCCCCTTGCCCCTTGCCCCTTGCCCAGCGGAGGCAGCAGCACGAAAACTGCCACATCAGCAAAAGTCTGTTAACTTCCGGTTTATGGTTGCAGCAGCTTATGGAGTCATTTCCGCTGGCTCGTCTTGCCCATTCATTCGGCTCAGCCAACCAGCTGGCGGTGCCCGCAGACCATTCTATTAAATCATCATTTCATTTTGTACTCGCTTCTCTCTATTTTTCTCTTTTTTCTCCCATTTTTTTGTCTTCCTCTGCAACTTCGGTCGCAGCACACCGCACTGCGCTTGCGGTAATTTTTTCCAAGTGCTTCCTTAGATTTATAATTAAGATTTGGTTAGCAGCAATAGCGGCTCTTTTTGAATTTATGTGCCGGCAAATGTTGCCCGTCTGCTGCCAAGCTACTGGGCTGCCAGGCTACTGGGCTGCCTGGCTACTGGTATACTGCAGCCGCCTGTAAGAGCCGCAATTTATCATATTTCCATCGCTGGACTGCAGCGAACTGCGCCTGGAGTGAGCAAACTACAAGGTAAACTTTACCTGCGCAATTTAATTACGCTGATAGGTACTTACCTGTGCAGAGTGAAAAGCTACGACCATTAAACAAAATTATTACAGCAGATCGACACAGCCATTCCATTCCACACTCGCTTCCCATACTCGTACACCTCTGTATCAGACAAGTGCCTCTCTTGGCTTTATGCATAAAAATGTGCCTTTGTGTTTCAAAAATACTATTTTCGATTCAAACGAAACAATATACGATAACAATATACTAATATTAACATAGACTAATCCTATATTAGTTAAAATTGAAAGTATAAATGAATTGCACTGATTACTTTGTCTATGGAAGTTGAAGAAATGGGAGATAGATCTCTTGATCGTCAGTTTGACAAATAAATAAGCAGATGGAACAGGAAATCAAACATTGCTCCATCTTAGAGGGAGGCCCTTTCTCGCTCTGCAATCGACTGGCGCTCAGCAAGTTAATGAGGAACAACAGCGGCATCGCGTTTACGTGGGAAAAGTGAAGAAAAGTTTTGCCCAAGTGGCATTTTTCCATTTTTCACATACAGGCGACGTGTTTTAACGCGCTGCGACAGCTGCTGCTGCTCCTGCTCCTGCTGCTGCTGCTGCTGCTGGAATAACGACGATGATTTCGTTGATTTGAATTGTGATTAAAATGCAGTGTATAATTTTTTGGCACGCCTTGGCTGTCTGAGACGCCCGGAATGTGCGGCTCGAGAAGTTTTTTGCCTCGTTTCACACTTTGTCTGGCTGTGGCGAAATGCAGGCAGGGATCGGGCGGCCCGGGGGAAGCCAAAGAAAAATTGCAAACCGCAACTCGTGTCGACTTGCCGCTCCAGCTCGACTTGATGTTCGAATAATGAAGAGGCAAAACTTTTGCGCTAGGCATGTAATTTTTCGATGTGACAGCCGGCAGTGGTGCTGGCACCACCCGCCCCACATTGCCCACAGCCCAGCGGAAGCAGTAGTTGTCATTCTTTCTGTGCATTTGTTACAAAGTTGCAGCCAAAAGTAAAAGAGAAGAAGAAGAGCAGAAAACAGACCCGCAACAGCATAAAAACTTCTGTTGTTCAAGATCTCCAGCGGCTCATGCATTTCCGTAACTCCACGTAACTCCCACGCTAGCTTCGACCTAGGCCTAACACTCGCAACAACACAACTCAACGTTCCGTCTGGACTTCAGTTCCAGTATTCCCCACATCGCCGCATAAATCACGGCGTAGGCCGCGTTATAAATGCGAACAATGACACAATTGATTGGCCAATTACGTGCGCTTCGGGGTGATTATGACGTTACGTACCGTTAGCCAGAACACCCTCCCCGCCCCCTCCCGTTCGCAATGCCCACTGGCCGTGCGCACGCCTGGCCGCCGGAGGAGCTGAGCTGAGCAGGGCTCCCAATTGGGGTGACCAGCCGGCGTGCATGTCATGCCTGGCTAAATTTACACAATTAAATGCGTGAAATTCGTTTGAATAATTGAGCAATTTTTCTGTGCATGGAAAGGGCGCAATTTCATACGTACATATAAAACCCAAAAATCTGTTTGCTTTAAAGACCTACATGAAATTCCATGTTGAATTTGCAAAAAGGCAAAGACTAGAGCAAGGCATTACTATAAAGGATATTTGCAAATTATGGGAAAATCTTTAAATCATTTGTAATCCTCATGAATAGGAAAGACTATTGAGGCTTCCTGCAATATCCGTTTTTCTATGAAGCTATTGTCTTGAAATGTGAAAGTCAAGATCTTTCGATATTTTTTAAGTTTGTATATTTTCATAAAAACCAAGACAAACAAGTAAGAAAGCTGTAGTCGAGACTGCTCGACTACGAAATCCCCTGAACCCTTCAAGCAACTGATATTTGAATAATTCTTTGCGTCTTTCTCCTTACAAAAGAGATACACACACACTCACAGACACATATAGGCACACACGCATAAACACGCATGGGCTGCTATGTCGGCTTACTTGTGGATGTACTTTCAGATCGTCATTATAAAATTAAAGTGCGTATATGTGCAAAACACAAATCTCCAGTATTTGAAATACGCCTTTTACAAAGGTGTGGGTGAGAGGGTGAATTATAACAAAAATCTGAATTCTATAAAATACATATGAATTTACATATCAAATTTGGAAACTTTAGCTTTAAAGATATTGGAGGTATAATTAAATAGCTTATTTTCGATAATGTTTTTAATCTATAAAAAATAACAGGAAGAGTTATCAATTTTTGCATCTAAAATCGATATCGGCATAATATTTGAATAAAAAATTTTATGTCTCTAACTTTTATATCTTCTGAGTTTGATGCGTTCAAACATACGACCAGACGGACATACAGTTTGACAGACAGGGACAAATCGAATTAGTTCGTCATCCTGATCAAGAATATATATACTTTATGGGGACTGCCATGCTTCCACCTGCCTGTTACATACATATATTTCAAGAAAACCATTATACTGATTTCCCATTTTCAAATGGTTCAGAGTATAAAAATTACAACTCAATTTTCAGTATTATTAGGATATATTCTGCTATTAGGGGTGGAGACAAATCGAACAAATTAAAAACCATGAAAATTGGTCCAGCAGATTTAAAAATCGCGTTGCTTTATGGATCTTTCTTTCTGGAGTAGCACAAGTAATATATTGATTTGAGCATGGGAACCTATTGAGAGTATTTTACCAGTGCCTACTGGAGACGTTTACTTTCGTTTCCTGCAACTACTTATTCTTGGATATTTCACATATTTTATTGTAAAGTGGGAACTTAATTATTATCAATACAATTTAGTGTGGAAGGCTGACTCTGTACATTAAACCATAAAGTCTTATCAATGCTGGAGTGGAGGCGTCGAGATCAGTAAATGATCGTGGGCTTTAAGTTTCTCGACTTTATTAAACCCAACATGGGAATGTAAGTATAAACCCAACATGGGAATGTAAGTATAACATGGACTGTAAGGATAGATTGTTGAAAATTGAATATTCATTGAGTTTTTATTTTAGTTGTTGTCTTTGTCAATTCGCATTACCTATAGAAACGATTAATCCAACATATGTATCAATGGAGTAAATATGTATTCGCATGCTTACCGTAGTAAGCGTATTCATGGAGTAAGCCCTGAGTGTAAGTGAAGATACGACATGGACATCATCATATGAATCATAAATCTCAATAGTGACCATGTTGCGAAAGGACTAAAGGCTGCGCGAATCGTTGTGTTTTTATGGGCCAAGAGGATAGAGTTACGTTAAAGCTTAGTAAGGCCAGCAGAAGGGAAGTTTACCCAGCTTTATTGCCAGCGGTCGGGGGGGAGGTGAAGCCACAGCTAATTTATTTGCAGGCTCGGCCGTCTATGCGACACAGCAGAGAGCAGCATCCTGGCGGACACTTCATTGTGCAGTGGCTCGTTTAAAATGCTGATTCAGTTTCATCATTAACCAGATTAATATGGCCCGGCGCTACCACTGACAGCCGCAATATGGCAGCTCGACAGCCCGGCTGCCCGGCTGCTCGGCTGCCCGGAGACCAAAGCCAAGCGCCGCATCTGCAGCCGGCCCTCAAATTGGTAATCGATGTCCGTGCCGGGCATGTTCTAGTCATTGCCGGTGCCGACCAATGGCCATGTGGTCATTCTCGTTGCCACCATTATCGTTGTCGTCATTGCAGACACTTCAAGTTTATCGCATTGCAGTTTGTCGAGCGTCACGCGGCGTGTGCGAAATATTTGGCCAATGAATTTTTATGTGGGCCGTGTGCAGCGCGCGGAGCTTTAGATGATTATGCAACGCAGTTCCGGCTAATCGAATGGGCACTTTAATTATGCTGCACAAGTCACATCGACTAAATACTTGGCAAAGATTAAGCCCTGTATGACTATAATGAAGCATCAGCACATTAAATAGAGATTATATTGATACTCACCCAGCCCCTCTAAGCCGATTCAAGTCTAGCGATTGTGATTTTAAGCATTTCCGTCGACTTCTCGCTCACTGTGCGCCGCACGGTTTACTTAGTATCTCTGGCATCAGCCGTTTGGAATTGTAATAATATTTGCCCGAAAAAGTATTTACATTTTACTCAAAGTTGCTCGCTGGGAAAGTCTTATTCACAGCCATTCGAGCTGCGGCGGCGGTGCGAGACTCGGTGGAGGCGGTGCAATCACAGTTTTCGACATTTTACGAAATTGTATCGGCGTCAAAGTTTCCCTTTACTTATTTGTTTGACTACTGCTTGGGTTTTACTCCTTTTTCGCTTAGCGTGAAATAAGAAAACTTTTTTTATTTAAACAAATTTGAAGCACTGGCACGCGTGGCAGTTCGCTTAAAGTTTGCCCTCCCACAATAGGCAGTCTCTGTTCTACTGAATAAACCTTCTGTTCTCAGCCTGAATAGATACATATTTTTATTCTACACAAAAATCAATCTAAATCAAGCAAAAGATAGATGGACTGAAAAAGGATTCTATTGACATTTTTAAACAAGCAAGTAGTCGAGACTGCTCGATTAGATGTTATCCTGAACCCTCCAACCTGATATTCTAATCGATTGACGTGTACTGAGTATGGTATACACGAATATGCATGCCAAATATCAGCACTCTAGCTCTTATAACTTCTGAGATCTAGGCTTTCATACCGACGAGCGGACAGGGCTAAATCAACTCAGCTCGTCATCCTGATGAAGAATATATATATACTTAGCTAAAGTCTCCAAATTTTATATATATTCTTGTATTCATTTTATACAATTTCGATTTTTGTCAAAATTTATCTCCCACCCATATAGCCACCTCCTCACCCACATATTTGTAAAAGACGTATTTGAAATACTAGAGACTTGTGCGTTGGCAAATACATGCATATCTATGTTATACTCATAATCTGAAAGTTTCATGATATATAGTCCATTCACAAGAAGTTATTTAACAATTAAGTTCTCATAGTACGCCACCACTGCAGCCAATGCGTGTTTATGCGTGCGTGCGTATGCCTGTGTGTGTGCGTGTGTGTGTGCATGTGCGAATAATTATTGAAATATCAGTTGCTGGCAGGGTTCAGGGGATCTCGTAGTCGAGCAGTCTCAGTTTACTTGTTTTGTATATTTTTATTTGTATAATTAATTTTTGCATTTTTACTGTAAATGCCAATTCATTGTCTACTTTACAAAATTAAAAAAATTGTGTGTTTAAATAATATATAAACTTTAATTTCTTCATTAAGAGAATATATTTATATATATATTTATTTTATTTATTTTGTTAGAAAGGCAGCTGACTTCAACAGAA